ACCTCTGAAGGGTGCAGTGGATCTTGTTCGTCAATAACTCTATCCACTTATTATACAGAGGAATACAACCACTTCTATAGTTTCTTCATGCAAGGGATTAGGACCACATAAATGCCTTCTTCAATAATGAAGTACTTTGGTGCTCTCCACTCTTAGGCACACCCCTGCTTGACCATATTTAGAACTTTGGCTCAGTCTCTCTCAATATGCTTTCACGCCTAGGCGATGTTGCAGTGACTGCGCAAGATTCTAGCTTGAGTTTGTCGAGTTCTCGGTACCGTGAGGTCGCGCGTTGGTATTGCCATCAACGACGCTATAAACGTAGCAACTTGAAGGGATTTAAAGCAGGCGAGTTGGGAGGTCAAGTGCCAAGATGGGGGGTGTTGTGGTCATAAAATTTACCGTCTTTTACACCTGAACCATTAAGTTTACACAAAGAGAGAGTCCAACCGTAACTCACGTAATCAGTTCTCTCTCTCGACTTCTAGCTGGAATTCCGTCTGCACGCCGAAGTCTGCGTGCAGACGGCAATTTTTATCCCGCGATTTTAGGGGAAAAAAGTAGCGGATGTGACGTCTTGTCCATGGTGGAAGTGAAAAGCAGCTGTGCCAGCGACTGTGTGTGTGAGTTTTATGCTTGTAGGGCTTGAATCGTGTTTCTTGTTAACAAAGGTGACCATTTTAAGTAATATTTAAACACACCACCATTCACTCCCATCTACAACCAACCTCAAAAATTCTACGGTGCGGAGATGGCAGTGGTAACAACGATCTGACATGTTTATGTTGCAGCGTGGACAGGTTTGAGAGACCATGGTATGTGGGTAAGATGGCGGTGTCACGATGGCAGATGTGGTAACTGCCTGTGTATTGTTGCCGGATCACCATCGTCGTCTCAGTGGTCATTTCTTCGAGAACAGAAAATCCGCCAACGCAAACAATGCGTGTCACCTGCCGGACACCACGAGACACGAATAATCGACACACAACCACCTGTGGGTTGCTCTTGTGGAGCAACTGCACAGGCGGCATCCAATGTTGGGGTAATTTAAGCGGCTGTGTGCCATGACAAAGAGAAGCAGGCTGTTGGTGGTGGTTGGGTCCAACCGACACATTCTTCTGGTATCGAGGCTGTTGAGGTGTGTGGAGGTGGCAGAGGTTGGCGTTGACAGATAAATGTGGTTGTCTTTCATACAAATCTATTGTTCTCTCATAAAGTGCCAGGTAGACCTGAACACTCTCTAATATGTGCAGCCAGATTCCCTTGTAGATGTACACTTGTTCAAGATGGTGGCGGGTTGGGGAGGACTTGATGATGCTTATATTAATTACAGGTCTTAAATATTTTAGTTGTTATTTTCACCTTGCTGAGTAATAGCAGGAGGAAGTCACGTAGTCTATTTAAATGACTTGAGGGAGAGATGTAACGTCTTTATTTATCATACCTTTAAGTGTAAACTTGATTTCTTTCTATTTGTCATGTGTCTGGTAGCTCTTCGACAGCTCTTCCTTTCCTTTTTTTTTTTTGAAAAGACAAGAAATCTCAAATAAGAGACGAGGAATGTGGAAAAAACGACAGAATGATCCACTTTTGATAATGAACCAGATAGGTTATTTAAGACACCACAATTCTCTAGTTTTTCTTACAGATATTAACCGATTCAATTTTGATAAGCACTTTTGACTTTGCCCCACAAGTGCCTGTAGAAGATGGCGTTTCGTAGAGCTTGGTGAAGAGAAAAGCGAAGTGAGTGAGTGTAAGAGAGAGCACAATCACACCACTCGCCATATATGGGTAAAAGAATACGCTGGCACCCAAACACGCACGCACGCACGCACACACGCACACACGCAAGCACACAACTGCGACAGATTTTGAAACCGCCTAATATGGTCACTGCGAATGTGCATTTCTCCACCCTCCCTCTTAACGCAAGCGTGTTGAGTAGAGGTGTGCTGTGCTGTGCTCAGGTTTGGCGCTCAGCCTGCCTCCACTCGGTTCCCGTCATGACCTCGTGCCTGCCTGCCTGCCTGCCTGCCTGCGTGCGTCAAGGTGTGTGCTTGAGCACGATTGCCATGCAATCTCAAGCCATCTGTGACACAACCACACACACACACACATCGCACTCCACTAATTGTTTTTTGATTGTGTTATCCTAATAAGAGCTGCTGAGAAACTTTTTTTTTCCTTTTCTTTATTCAAACTTCATATGCAACTTCCTAAATGGAGGCGACGATTTTACGAACTAGGCCAACCACAATATTACCACCTCACCTAGTAACTAATCTCTACTCGAATTTGACACTCTTGACAGGGAATAAATGAGCATTAAGGAAACAGATATAAGTTTAAAAATGCGCCCTTTTTGATGAAAATAACGATAAATTTTCAATTAGTATCTACACACGGAAAGGGTTAAAGCACCATGTCATCCACTTTTCTGTCTGCCTGTCCTTCTAGTTTATCTGGCAAATGAGCACGTTCAAGCGTCACATCCCTCCCTATTTCCCTCCTTCAGCTTTCTGTCACAAATTTTTTTCTCCTTTAAAAAGCGCAGAACATTAGAGACCGAACCCAGCTCAAGTTGTGCATCCAGATATTCATTCCACTCTCTGCTGTCTTTTACGAAGACATCGCAGAATTGCGCGGTTTCGAATGTAATTATTTTGTGAAGCATCTTTGTTTGAATGTACTATCCAGGCAAAAGGCGGTTAAAAAATACAAGGAGGAGGGAGCGTTCTCTGGACCCCTTCTACTACCCCAACCCAGTGAAGGATACCTCCTCTACCCAGTCTGTCTGTTCCAAGGCTATGAAGACTGAGGTGGAAGAGAGAAGCATTAAGCTTATTACAAAATAACTAATGTAGGGAATCGTTAATAAATCGTAACACGCCACGAGAATGACAACCAAAATTTGGTAAGGCAAAGGTGACTTAGTCTTAGACAAAAAGACACGTCAAATTGGAGATTGTGAACGCCATATTTTCAGATTAACCCTTGGTGTAAATCGTCCTTAACCTTTAAAATAGAAATTCTTGACGTTCATGTAAGTAAATTTATTGGAATAATTTGGAGGCAAGAAACAGACAAAAAGACAAGGGGAGAAGAGGGTAGATTTAGAAGCATTTGCGATGAACAATGCTGGGTCCGGACTCGTCGTACTCCTGTTTGGTGATCCACATCTGTTGGAAAGTGGACAATGAGGCCAGGATGGAACCACCAATCCAGACAGAGTATTTGCGTTCCGGTGGAGCAATGATCTTGATCTTCATGGTGGTTGGCGCGAGGGCAGTGAGGTCCTTGTTCATACGGTCAGCAATACCAGGGTACATGGTGGATCCACCAGACAAGACCACGTTTGAATAGAGGTCCTTCCTGATGTCGAGATCGCACTTCATGATGGAGTTGTAGGTAGTCTCGTGGATACCATTGCACTCCAGACCGAGGAAACTGGGTTGATAGAGGGCTTCAGGACAACGGAAACGTTCGTTGCCAACTGTGATTACTTGACCGTCGGGCAGTTCATAAGTCTTCTCCAGAGAGGAGCTAGTGGCAGCGGTAGCCATTTCGTTCTCAAAGTCGAGTGCCACATAGCACAACTTCTCCTTGATGTCTCGCACGATTTCACGCTCCGCTGTAGTGGTGAAGGCATAGCCACGCTCTGTCAGTAGCTTTGTTAGCCAGTCGGTGAGATCGCGACCAGCCAAATCAAGCCGCAGAATTGCGTGCGGTAGAGCGTAACCCTCGTAGATGGGTACAGTGTGGCTCACTCCGTCGCCCGAGTCGAGCACAATGCCCGTAGTACGACCGGAAGCGTAGAGCGAGAGCACTGCCTGGATAGCTACATACATCGCCGGACAGTTGAAAGTCTCAAACATGATTTGTGTCATCTTCTCACGATTGGCTTTTGGATTGAGTGGAGCCTCAGTGAGGAGGACTGGATGCTCCTCAGGCGCCACACGTAGTTCGTTGTAGAAGGTGTGATGCCAGATCTTCTCCATGTCATCCCAATTGGTCACGATGCCGTGTTCAATGGGGTATTTGAGAGTAAGGATGCCTCTTTTCGATTGAGCCTCATCACCTACGTAGCTGTCTTTGTTGCCCATGCCAACCATGATGCTCTGCTGACGTGGACGACCGACGAGAGAAGGGAAAACAGCGCGAGGGGAGTCATCGCCAGCGAAGCCAGCCTTGCACATACCCGAACCATTGTCCACAACAAGAGGAGTTATTTCTTCAGCCATGGCTCACCAAAGGATTTGTCTTCTCTACTGCACTCAACCAAAGTGATCCTTCTAGTGATTTCTAGGGCTTTTATATCGTCACTGCAGGCAGGTAGCCTATGAGATGGGTATCATCATCTCTTGGCGCCTCTTTAGCTGCGTGACATTGGTCTAAACGCATGAAGAGCAGATGCATTCACTGGGGTGGATTGTGATGCACTGCACTCGAGCTCCAGCACCCTCTTATGAGAGTAATCTACTTATCCCTTGAAATTTAACTGACGAGATTACCCAGATTCTGGTTTTAACCTTTGAAAAAGAGATATTTGGTACATTATATGAAGGTATTTGTGGAATTTGAGTCTGGCAAAGAGTTTTAGGATTTACTATTACATATGCTTATTTGAATTTAAGCACAAAAACTGTGATAGATTTATGGTGGTAGTAGTACAAGTTTCCTTTATAAAGGCAAAGTTTTTCTAGGCATTTAGACTTTAGGTCGATTCGTAGTGAACATCCCTCTTTGTGAATGAAGTATTACACAGGAAATTATTACTCACCATTTCGTTAAACATGGCAGTCGTTATTCAGGAAACAATGTAGTCACCTGTTAGAATGTTGGCACAAGGCAAACCAGCCTCACGCCCCTTTTCAACACTAGCAGAAAATATGCGGAACTACTCAACGTCTAGGGACTGCGCACTTTAGACTTCCCTTATGTAAACGAATCACCCGATCTTCTGGCAATTCATGGCTGTGGCATACCATGTAATTACTCTACGAGTTTATTACTGATGACTGTAAGTAACGTGTCAGTATTCGGCTGCAGAAGCTCTGAGGTAAGTAAAATATCTTTAATTTGGCAAAAAAGTACCTAAGGTTTAAAAATAACTGACGTTGTATCCCACACTCTAGCTTGTGCGTGTTTCGTGTGTTAAATTTTGCATTTTTATGATCAATCATTTGGGATACACAATATCACTGTCTTTAATGACACGCTAGTAAATAATTAACTAAAAATTATTATCACAAAATCTTTAGGACCAAGAATGATGTTCAAAGAAGAAATTACCTAATTTTTAATTTAAACTTTGTTTTAAGGTTTACTCTTAGGAGCTTCATTTTTCGATTCTGTATCTCGCAGTCACAGCTGTTACCGTACTGCTCTATTAGTTGTTTGAACGTCCCACCTAGGACTTTAGCTGTTAACCTCCAAATACATTCTTTTGCTCCGGGAATCCTACAAAACATTTGTGGGCGAAATTTTAGTTGTTCATTTTGCTTTTCCTTTCCGTTGGTAACAAATAGTGGACTTCATAGTATTTTGCTCCTCCATCATTTTAGCTCGATTGCCGGCACTCTCCTGTCACTACCACTTTGTTGGTTCTAGCTAATGGGAATTTTCGTTTATCAACTCAGAGTTTCGTACTTTCATTTAATGAAGTTGTTGATAAGTATCTTCCAGAGTCCTTTATCATTCTGGTCGTGCCTATTCATTGAATTTGTGTTCATTTCTACCTATATCTTCCCTCCCTACTATGCTTCATTTGGATCGCGCCTGCGTACTTTTCGTGTCAATAAAACAAAACGTAATGATCCTGCAACAAAATAAGATATTCTTGGTTGGATAGTCGCTCTACTATGGTTTCGAATGGCATGTGACATACCAACCACATGATTTTAGATGTCCTCAGAAAAGCGCAACTTCGGTAAAGCAATGAACCAGGACCACGAAATTGATGCGCAAGATTCCAGGGAGGAGCCAGTGGAAAATGGGCTTCCAATCGACACGAAATCGCATCAAAATCCACTCCATGCGCCTATGACGATTTCGCGTAAGTCTATTCCGTCCCTACACTTTTTCTCCTTCTCGCCCAATGGCCTGTGTGTGTATGGCAGAGGCACCCATGTGGGTATCCTCGCCATATTTCAGCTCCGAAAATGTTTCTTTTAACAATGTTCTGCTTGATAGTACATTTATTAGCCCACAATTTTTACCCAACGTGCTGAACGCCTGCATAAAACTTAAATTATTATAAGGTGCTTGATAAGTAGCTTTGACCAAATTCTCTATTCTTTATAGCCTCACCACCCAAGCAAGTGACAATTGATCAGCTGGCTGAAGCAGCGAACAGCTTTTATAAGATGTCTCTTGTCCACGAAATCAGCGTTGATTCGAACTTCAAGGTGGAGAGGAAAGAGGAACCGTGAGTTAATTTATCTAAATGTCCCACCTACTGTGATGGTTAATTTTATATCCAGGCGCTTTGATATGGCTTCTGAAGTGACTACTTGCGATTTCGGATAAGTGACATGCATGGATCATGAAGGCAGTGCAATAAACGTGCTAGCAAGTCTTTCGATCCGGGGCTTGAAAATCGCCTTTAATGCCTGAATGCTTCATTATTGAAGTCGACTAATTTAACACTTAACAGATATTAGCAGTTTAGGGTCGAATCTCCTGTGCTGGAAATGAAGTGAGGGGAGAATATTCAATTAACTTAATTTATTTAATTAATATTTGCATTTCTTGATGGCTCACATATTCGCTGTAGCATTTGACCTGAAAATCCATGTTCTCATGCACGCAGATATTGTCTAAAATAGGTCATTTTTAATCCTAAAGACGTTTATCTCCTTACTTTGAATGAGAATCCCCACGAGTTGAAATGAGAACAAGTATGAATATATTTTGTCTACCTGTGCATTGAATTTGGTAATCTCCATTTGAAGAAGTGAATTTGTCAAACTATTCTTCTTTAATCAGAAAGGGGGGTTGTTTGGAGCGGTGGGATGTCAAAAGACAGAGGTAAAGTCAGTTGATACGTTGGTATGCGGTGAAGTCACATCTACCAGTAGCAGACTCCACAGTAATTACCATCCTTGTGTTTGAAAAGGACACCACCACCATTACCATCCCGTTGCGCCTGCATCAACTGTCGGTAGAGGAGGTAGTAGAGGGCGTATTTCTGCAAATCCTCTTTAGTCACTTGAGCCATCTTCTATACCTTCTCACATTCCCAAGCTCACCTCTGCTTAAGTACGTATCGGAGATGGAGGGGGCAAATATTTCCCACCAACTCGGCGACTGTCTTATCTGGTGGTTGGTGTGGTTATCAGGTGGTGGCAACTCGTGATGAGCTTGTGATGACCATGTGCCCATACTATGAACGTACTAATCATCGTAGATGTGCGCAGTTCTGTGGGATAGCTGCGAGTCACCCATCAGTCGTGGGAAGCTCAACACGCCATAGTACGTATTTAAGTGGATGGGTGCTGTGCGAATGTACGAAGAATGGCGGCGGCGCAAGCGTTGACCACTACCGACGTGCAGTCCTACCTCCTCTACTACCTCCTCTATCGTCAGCTTATGAATAGCGGTAGATGTGGACACTGGCATGGTGAATTCTGCTGATGGAAGTAATGTCTCCCTGTAGTCTCACACTCACCCTGTTTTGTGATGTAGACTGTGTGATCAACAATACTTAGTTCTTTGTGCGAAGCTAAGTAAAGAGTTGTCTGATATTGTCGCCTTCTTCCACCCCACCAATTGCACTATGGACTGACGGTTAGCTCTCAAAATTGCGGGTTTCGGGGTGCTAAACATCACCAAACAAGCTCCTGTGGTTGGTTTTTAAGGCCGGATTTTAAAGTACCTGCATTCCCTCATACAAGTAGAGGCTGGGGAGTGCATTCCGTGCATTTGTTACAGTCGAATGGTAATGTTAATAATGAATGGTCAAGTGAGCCCTCAGCCCATTTTTGTTTCAACGTTCGATGGGTTTGATTCAATGCCTCACAATATATGTAATAATTACTGAGGTTTGTGAATCGTCCATTCTATCAATGGATTTCGTAACCGTTTGTTGCTAAGTAACAAAACCAGAACGGTTTTATCGGATCTGATTAAGGATAGCATTGACTTCAGTAAAGTGGGTACGTAAACATTGTCTGACAGCGTAGAACAATAGCTGTCGTTGGGAGCTTTCATCCCCGCCTCCTGTTCCGCTATCAGTGCGATCTCTAAGGCGAATATTCAGTGGCGAACTCTTGGAATTGCTGCTGGAAGCTCACTCTTTGTCCATCGACTAATTAATTCTGACGCATTTTTATCTGCTTTAACTGTGAAAAACAACAGTGCTTTTCTACAGCCTCCCTATCACCTTGTAGCGTGGGATTTGGAACAAGCAAAAATGTTTTGCTTTGTGTAAATCACTTTTTACTACTGTAGACGTCGACCTGATTTGCATTAGGGCGCCTTGTACACTTCCTCCCAACTGCGTTTGTGGAGCACTTGCTTTGGATTTTCAGACAAAAGGAAATTAGATTAGGCACGACTGCCTTTCTGCGGAATGCCCTTTTGAGGTGAACCACACATGCCTAGTCTTTGAACTGTATTGTCACCTATCAAGGCTTGTGAGTGGTAGCTATCTGCTTAGTAACTTTCATTACACCTTCCCCTTCCCGCTTGGTATAGGTATATGTGGATTGTCTCCTCTCTCACGTATCCATGCTTTATGGCAAAATCTCACCAACATTTTTAGCACCTGATAACTTTTGAAGGATGGGGAAAGGAAGGTTTATTTGGGAATCAATAACGTAGGCTTGACAATTTTCTGTAGCCGTAAAGAATTCCCAGATATTATTATTATTTCCCTAATACATTCGACAGGTTATTAACCTGGCATCCTTTGAAGGCCGGACTCACCACTTATTTTCTTACACTCTTGATTCACCTACTACTTCTGGATCTATTCATCCATTCATCCCATTTCAGGTCTATCTCTCCTTCTAAATATATCATTCATTTCTTCCCAGATCCACTTGCCAAACCATTTTCATTTCATTGGTCTACCTTGTATCTATACACTCATCCATCTTTCTACACCAAGTTGGTCCCCATTTTCTCAATCTGGGTGTTCTTTCGTGGTAAATGACTGAATAGTGATAGTATAAGAAGTCTGGTAGTCTGAAACCACAGCTGCCATGATCCGAACCCAGTATACCTAATTTGAAGACCATAACACAGTGGCACTTAACATACGGCCTTATCTTAGTTGTCGAAAAGGTGCAAAATCCACTGCATACTGGCCAGCCATTGAAGAGTGAAGTTGTGATTCCCAACCTATCCTTCAGTTACCTCACCTGAGTTTTCTTATTGTTTCCCTAGACTAGAGAGAGGTATAAAGGAGACAATGCACAGAGCCTTCTGGGATGTTCAGCGTTCTCACCTCAACGCCGACCCGCCAAACTACGAGCCTGCTCTCGGTCTACTGAAGGAGATTAGACAGGTATGAGGTGTTCAATCGCCTGTTTTACTCTTGCAATCATCCTCCAAATCCCTTTTTAGTAAATTGAGTAATTGGGGCTGTTCCTCCATTATTGCTTTCTGGAGGTGTCGTTTCAGAAGGCGACTTTAGGTTTCATTGCGAAAGCGGTAGATGTTCCATCAGTGATGCGAAATATAATACAAGACTGTAAGAAAAGATGACTCGATGTCTTGCTGTCGTGACATTTAGCGATATTTATGGATCTTGTGATGTTTGATGAGTTTCATTTGATACCGATTAACTGGTAGGTGGAAAATACACGGAAAGCAGACTCGCCATGAAAGGATTTCCCACTGCATCTGAATCACTCCGGAACGGACTGCTCTATCTCGCTAGCATTGTTAACCAAAGGTCAAAAATTATGGTGGTAGCCGATGTGAGCTACTCAAAATCACACATGTTCGTATTGGTGAATGAAACATTCGTCGCCCTTGCAATTAAACTACAAGAGACACTGGCAGGTGGCTGTCCATCGGTTGTTCAGGTGTCCTGGCGTCTTAGTGTCCACAATGAGATAGGCCTTGTACGCTTTATGCAGAATGTTCGTTTCCACAGGAATGACCACCGTGACGACTGTAGTCTGACAACGCTACGCTAACGGTCATCACAACTGCCATCGTGACACCTTTATCGTACAACTTACGAAGGTCTTTTAAACTTTGAATTCAATGTCAAAATGGTGTGTGACGAAGCGTCACCACCATCGCCCCACTTTACAATGTTTGTGGTTGTCTGTGAGTACGAGTAGATGACCATGTGTTCAAATATTGTTTTGATTTGTCGTCTTTGATGACATGTTACTTGATTCAACACCACACTTCATGCATGAGTGTCAGAACGGCTTAAAAAATATCGGCTGCCGTGGGATTGGTGATCACGGAGAAACCGAAAGCCGATTGCTCTTCCATGTGGATCATTGTAACAATGTTTCAGTGAACTTTTCCCCTAATAGATGGCGCCACTTATTTGTAGTGTCTGAGTTTGAAGCACATGCAGGGTCTAGTGGTTTAAACACATTAACATCTCAACACCAGTCAGATGAATCCCTCTTCCGGCTACCGCATTACTTACTTAAACTTCACAGCTTTTGGAGTGATTGACTGTAAAAAGGTAAAGGTAGATCTAGAAGCTCAACAGTATTTGTGCAAGTTTGGTGGAGGGTAATGCTTACAATACTACTTATTTTTAGTCCCTGGAGAGCTTGACTCTGCCACATCAGACAACACTTCGAGCGCAGATCGCAGAGCGTTTGGACATTGAGACAGCGGAGGTGGAGTGGCGACGCACCGGACACCTGCGATTGGAGGCTTTTGCAGAACCTCTTGTCGAAATGCTTGCTCAATGGTGCGCCCCCGTTCGCGATCCCGATGTTGCCCGTCTGCGTGACATCTCTGATCCGATTGAATTCTTTCGGTTAGTCTCTTATCAATGTGTGTCGATTCTTGTATGACTTGTCGGCATCTAATGGTGGCTGTTTACATCTCGAATTCGGCACTCCCCATTCCTTGACATTGTCTGATCCACTGGCATCAATAAGGGCTAAGACAAGTGTCAGTTGTTTGGAGCTTTAAGGTCTCAACTGAGCCGGACTGGTTTTGTTGGACTTACAGGCCATACAGAAATGCGATCTCTAATATTGGCCGGATGTCATCTTTATTTAAACTAATTTTTTAGTGTGTATTCTGTCTAGATTTGGCCTTGTCTTTGCGTTACGTCTGGAACTTCAACTTTCCATCTTAGGTTTAAGTAATTTGCTGTGACTTTTGTTGTTTATTCAAAAAGTACTACCTCTTTTATACTTCCTTTGGAACCGGTGAAGATGTGACCATTACTGCATTTTGGCGATTGGACAGTTCTGATCCTGACACGGGACTACTTCAATCTAATAAGTTGTATTTCAATGTAGTACAGTTTAGGCGTAGTTACCCCGTCGTTAAGTTTGCGCTCTCTCCTAGAGTCGTCTAGGAGCGAATTGAAGAGTTCGGAAATAGTCTGTACTGTTGTAAAGGCTGCAGCTCGTTCCACGTGGCGTTCAATCGGCTATGCCACCACGATCACGAGGAATGGAGACTCCTGATATTTAAGATTGACAAAATCACAGTCGTCTCCGTTTGTTATGAACTGCTATGTATCCGTGTGAGAGCTTGGATCCTGTCTAATTTCCAAGCTGGAGTAAATCAGGAAACGGAGAATTTAATACGGACGTTTTCCTTTGTTGACACGCATGCGTAAGCTGTAGACATGACGTATGTGTATGTGACTTCGGGTTGACTACTGAAGACAGGGTGATCCCATTCCTCGCGCTAGCACCTTTAAAGCCTATTCGTGTGAGTGTGAGTTTTGAAACGCCCTAGAGTGTTTTGAAATCTAAGCATGAGGACAGAAACTTCTAGAGAACCGGGGCAGGGGCTTTTTTGAGGTCGCAGACACCTCCAGCACCGTGAGATATTGAAAAAAAAAGGAATAAACAAACATCACCCAACTTGGCAAGTTCATGAAGGTACAGGTTAGTTGAGGGCATTTGAGTGCATCCTAGTTTTCTTGTTAGTGTTTTTCAAACCTAAGGTCAAAAATGAGTGAAAATGCGGTAATTCTTTTTAGGTATTGTTAATTGTTCGTGTGTATGCATTCCCTTTGGATTGAAAAATAGGTAACAAGGAGGCTATTTGAATGAATGGATTATTTGCTTCGGTAGATTGATGAATGAATGGCCGCATAGGGAGATGGTTCGGAGGGGAGATGTTTGCCTACTTAGATGGTTGAATAAGACGGCTAATTGTGATGAATGGATGGATGTATGCTTGGGGGGTGGACAAATGGACGAGTGCGTGGGCAAATTGTTGAAGTTCAAAGATGCTACGGATGAGCTGATAAATTGGTTTGTTGGTTGCATTCATGAATAATTGAACCACTAGGCAGATGGACATATGGACAAGCGAATGATTTAACAAATAGATCAGTAATCGGTTTGATAAAAATTCCTTATGGAATTCATCCCTTACTTTTCTCCTCGTCCAGACAAGCTTTCGCCGTGCTAGAACTAATGCACATGGATTTGGCCAACTTCACTATCCGAAAGATGCGTCCCTATATCCGTCAACAGGCTGGGGAATATGAACGCGAGAAATTTGACACCCTCCTCAAAGTTCAAGAAAGTTAGTCCTCAGTCTTTTTACTTTGAATTAATTGTTTTATTGGAATTCTGACTGTGAACGGCCTCTGGACTTGAAGGTGGGAAGTTCGTTTCATGATATTAAAAAATTACTAGAATTTGTCTGTTTCTGGCACAGCAATAAGCCTTTTGGGTTATTTAATCGTCTCAAATTCGTCGAATGCTTCTTTTCCATTCGCGGAACTTGTATCCCAGTAACGGGTACGCTCGAATCACGTCTTGGCTTCTCATTCACTGGCTCTATAACTCCCACTAGTTAACCGACACATAAATCGTGCCTGAGTTCGACCGGTCCGGTTCATTCAAAATCCAAGCTGTCGATGTGAGATCGCAGGCAACGCACGTACTTATGCATGCACCACCGTGTGGTGTTGAACTAAATGTCTTATCAACAAATCCAAGCGAACGTCCGCCTACTCACCCACAGACAGCCTCAAACACTGGACTGTGTGGCAATGATAGTGACTCTTTGTCATCCACCACTTTGACATTGACTTTAATGGTTTCACGCTTTTACACTGCAAAGTGGCCGCGTTCGAAAGACCTTCGTAAGTGCGTACGATGAAGGTGCCACGATGACAGTTGTGATCACAGTCGTTTCGGCGATCAAGCCTGTGAGAGCGATCATTCTGCCAACGCTTGCAAGGCCTTACCGCACCATGGACACGTGAACAACCGGCGCACATTCACCTGTCGGTGGCTTTTGTGGTGTAATTGCACAGGCAACGAATGCGCCATTCGCAAATACGAACATATGTGCTTTCAGGTAGTGCACATCGACTACCGCCTCAGTTTTTTAGCTTTTTGGCAACACGAATGACAAGTTGAAGCAACCTGTTCTGTGTTAGTTCGGTCGTAGTAATAGATTTTTCAGAACTATGTCGAAGGAATCGACAGTGTGTGCTTCTTGGAACATGTTCTTGTCTTCCTTTGTAAATCCAAAATTCATTGTTTCCCTTGAGCGCTTCCCGTGTTATAACGCCTCAGTTCGGAGCCAGTCGATGATTACCGTAGATTGTGTTTAGAGAAGTGTGTGTGTTCAGTTGAGTCTTCTCGATGATGCCTTCTTTTATAGAAGCTGGAATTGACGGTTTGGCGATCACGCGAGAGTGGATTCGCGAGGCTTTCGAGACTTTGCAAAATCAGACGTCATCAGACGGCGCACCCTTAGCTCCTCCTACACCGAATAATATCCTTCGTGAGGCCTATCTGGCCCTCCTAGTATGGCAACCGACTCGCGAATTCCCTGAGGCGAGTCTACACTTGTACCTACCTTACTTGAAGTACAGTATCAACACTACTATTGTTGGTTATATTACCTCTTTCTTGAATGGGTTCTTGTCGCTTTATTGAATAAATGGGTGAGACTATAGCTGCTCCATAACGAAAAATTCATGCCTTTACAGGATGTTCGTAGATCCGGTTATAGATAAGTTAAATTGATATGTTTTATTCCTCCTTTGACATAAAAATTGTTATTTGGGCAGACACAGCTGAACAGATTCGAGAGGGATTGACGTATGCAAGGTGGATGAAGTCAATGCGACTTGACGAGAGTTTGAGAACTTCATACCCATTACAAAGCATAGAGGCTTGGGCTTATTACCCTCTGTTGGTTTTGATATCGCTACTTTTGATGATGATGTTCGATAGTAGCGTTTTTCACTACCTTCACTTTGTAGACAGTAGCAGTGGATGCAAAGCGTATCCTCGAGCTTTCGGATTGCCTGGCGCGGACAGTGACGTTGGCGTCGTTGGTATTGGTTGTTTGCAACGCTGTTGCTACCGCCTCCGTCTCCCTTGCCCTTTGCACACCCACCCCAGTCACCACCTTCCCCCTCGCCTCCCTGAAGGCTGCTGTCTCTCGGGACGCTCGTGGCATTATTGACGGTGTACCCTCCGGGTAGGTCGACCAATTCATCCTGCCGTCAGCCTGTTAGCATGCTGGTTGCCCGGTGGTGTTCTTTCCCTTATTTGTTAAGAAAGACCAATCAGCTACTTTGGTGGTTAAAAAATTCATCTTGGCTACCAATTTGGTTATCTTTGTGGTCCTGACGGCTTCAGTGTGACCTACAAATTTAGGGTCAGACTTATTATAGGTCTTAAGAGAAGCTGGGAGACTGTTAGCATTGGCTATAGAGGGTGACTCTCCGAGAACAGTCCGTGGAAAGCCAACTTTATGCGTTATACCTACCATCGCCACATACGGATCTTTCTGGTGCAACTTCACCAGATTTCTGCTGATGTTTTGCATCGCGGATGTTCATTCAAAAGACCGATTGCCATGTCTGTGGGCTAGGAGCTGAACCACCATGGTCGGGATCATCAATTGTGCAAAAATGTACATCTCTCTTTGAAATACTTGCCTTTATACCATTCGAATATTCTGCTGCTGTTACCGTCATCATCGTCCAAACTGCGCTTGAAGTCTTCTGTGCGAGTGGATTTCGATGGCTTTGTCCATCGAATCTTCACTTGTCAGGTTTTGCTTACACCTGAATGACGTTTTAGAGCGCGCTCGGATGGCATTACCTAGGTTCCTCTCCGACAGCTGGATGCGCTATCGCATTGGCTGACATGAATGACCAGTTGGATGCCTTGCTTTTCAGTAAAATTCCACAACTCGCAGAAGTGCTCAACCTCCGCATGCTATTGGTTGTCGACAATTGGCGGAAATCGCTCTACGAAGGAGACAGCGAATTTAAGACCACTTTTACCAGTGAGGGTTTGTGTCCAGTCACGCCTGACAACTGTCTTCCAGAACCCTTCAAAGAACAAATCACGAGCCAGATTAATGCAGTTCTCCGAACGGAACATCCCGTCTATAAACTGATGTGTAGGTCCTGCCTTTTTCTATAGTAAGGTAGTTGTTACTGAAATGCGAATAGTATGTCCACCTTATGCATTGCAGTTTCTCGAGCTGTTGACTTTCTGCGTTCCGCATTATCCGCACGACCACCAGATCCCATTCCACTTCCAACCGGATTTGGAGCACTTTCAGAAAGCACTACGTCAATTCCAACCTGTCAACCCTCCGTGCCGTTGGATCCGAGTGTTTGCGCAATGGAGAAACCCTCAATGAACCTACGAGTGGACATGGATGGAGACACTGATTCCGTCATTCCTAATACCTCTTCTGTGGGCTCCGCTTCGATCTCCTCCTCCTCTTCCTCGGCTCCTGTCGACCTCTCACGGGTCTACGATCTCGCTCTGATTGCTTCGCGCCTGATGCCTCTCGTGGCACACAATCGACACGTTTTTGGACCGCATTATGCCGAAATCATCCACGATCTCTTAAAGCCTGCGCGTAGCGACTGATTTACAAAGGCGATTGATGCATAACTCCATTTATGAAATACTAAGGGCATTTCTTCTTTTTCTGGTTCTCATTAACAGTGGGTACATTTTTTGTCTCTCTGTGAGTGGAAAATTATTCTTATTTTTTGTGTAACTTTACTTCGATTCGCCATTCTTTGGCTGTCTAATCAGAATGCCAAATAAAATTCATACTTTAGGCAATTTTGGGGGTCCTTTCAAATCCTTTGTCGTCGGTAGTCCCAGTTATTTGACATCCTCATTACGGGGGCAAATCTGATAGGCTATGGTCAGCGTCCTTGAACGAGTTTCAAGACAGGGGCGTAGTTGGGGTGATCATTAGAGTACGCCTAGTGATGGTTGGTAGAAAATTGCCGTAACTGGCGTTTTACCGCTCTATTGTACTAGGTGGACCACCTGAATGACGTGATTCGCCGTAGGAAATATGCACAAGAAATGTGATTGCAGGGCTAGATTGAGTGGTGGCCTGCGTTAGTCCTTATTGTGTTTAGGTTTTCAGGAAAAACATATGCAGAACCTGTGGAAGTGAGCAAAGGATTCCCTGTCAATTTGCAGGAGTGATCGACACGTTAGGGGGTTCTCACCCTCCACGACATTAGTGGGAAGCCTGATGCTAGATGAAGCTTTGATTAAAATGTTATCAAGTTCAACAAATTGCAACTGCAATAAGGTGACGCCTTCTCCAGTCTTTAAATACGCCAGCTTCGTGACACTTCGATGCGCATAAAAAGTTGGTTAGAAATTGCATACATAAGCACAGAATCACTTTCAACGCACATTGTGTCGAGAGAAAAAAAAAGAACAAAGCTCCAGAATGTGCAGTTTAGGCCAACGGAAGTTGTGTGACCTGAGAGGTTTTGCAAGTCGCCGCAGTGTGCGAATATCTAAGCGCTCTCTCTCGCTCTCGCCCTGTAAAAATTCTAATTGCACAGGCTCCAGTACCCTGTCCCGGTAGCCAATTAGCCACGAGTAACGCGCCCTGACCAATCAGCACTAGCCAATCCTCAGCCAATCGATTCAGCCTGTGGCGGTCATGCCAAGATTTTGCGCTAACTGGGCGCTAAAGAGAGCATCTGTTGGCTTACGTTTGCTTTAGCCTGGCTTAAACACAGAGGGTCAACTTGCTACTTAGGAACACTGAAAAGACGTACCTGATCAGAATGAAGGACGGTCCTCAAATAATTATCTCTGGAGTTTGTTACATAAAATGAGCAATTTACATGGTCACTGAGATCCTTGACTATTCCCGCTAATTTTTTTCAAAGATTCCAACTAAAATTAGTAGCAAAATGGGCGAGTATTCCTTTTTTGCTTCAGAGTAAAATCTATTGACGACAGGACCAAATTGGGGGTGGGGGTTGGTAGAATGGGGCCAGTCGCGCGGAGGAAGCATATGCAACCACGTGGCGATCAGCTGTTTTTCGAGAGAGGGCTGACGAGGTGTCTGCCAATCGCCAACCTTCGTCGGCTGTTCATGTGTCCGGTGGTTGATTAGTGGCTCTTTGCGCCAATCCTGCATATCTCACGGTTCAGTTCTCTGTCTCACATCATCCGGAGTGCCCGGTAAGGTGCTCAACTGAGACGAGGTAGGTCATGTTTGCAGCCTACGTTGAGAAGGCTTTGGATGAAAAGAGTCACTTCTAATCAAATCAGCCATTTCTTAACTCTTCCTGCTTCCAATACGGAGCATCCTTTGTAGAACGGGTTGTTGATTTCACAAATACCAAAATGCATGTCTTGAAGCATTGTGCCCATTTATGCAGGGCATTCGATAAATACATCTTCCAACAAAACACACCGGTGCTAGTATATTACTTCGGTTGTGTATTTAACTCTCGGTTTTGGCAAAGGCGCCACTTGGGTGCTCTGTTATTGTACCTACGCGGGGTAGGCTGGCCTCTAAGCCGTGCCAGTAGCCTCAAGTCCTACTGTATGGCGAATACACATACATTCCGCCTTCGTCTTTAGGAAATTCTTGGGGCGCTGCAGTAGTAAAACTTTTGAAACGACACCTACTTCATTCTTTTTGACTGTAATGTCATCATGCAGTTAGGTAGCCATCTCAACGGCACTCCAGACACGATGGAGAAAGTCATGAACCGTAGCATCTATATGGGTGGCACCGATTCTAAAACTTGACTCATAAAAGTAGAAGGACGTGACACGACCTTCACGATGAGTAGCTTTGGATAACATCAAAGTGTCTATGAAGTAGACAAGATTATTCCCTAAACATCTACGACAAATAACGACTTCTTTTGAGGATTTACCAAATTATCGTGATCTAAATGGAAAGGCTCGATCAGTAATACTAATACTCTCCGCTATTCCATGACTTCTGATGGGGATGTGACTCCTAGATGGAGAAGCCATAGCAACTAAATGCCTTTTGTGAAATTGGATTTCTCAGATAAGTCGACAAATGACGAAATTGGAATCACGATTTTTCGTCAATTAGAGTAACAATAGTGTGCATTTGACTGTGGAAAAGTGCTCTTCAGACTTTTAAATGATTGGATCAAAAGTAGCCAGTAAAAATCATCCAGAATCCCAACCGCTTACCCTATTGGGCGACAGTGAATCGCATCAAGCATTCGGTCGTTTCAACAGGTGATCGGGTGAACTTACGCCGTCTCCTGCCAACTCGTGGAAGTTGAGGGTGGATCTTTCACACCTAATATACGAGCAAAAACCACAACAATTCGACCGCACTTTATGCACTTGAAGTACCTATGAAATGGAAAATTCCTACTTCAAATTTATTGTTTCAAACAACTGTTTAAGTTCATTGTTTTGTGTTTTTAATAGTGAAAAACGATGAAAACAGATAAAAAATTTTTGCACTCTGCGCACGCATGCATACACTGTGTGGTGCGCTGAGTTGAAGGCGCACAGCTAGCCGTACCTCTCACATTATGCACACAAAGACAACCGTGTCTCCGTACCCAATGGTAGTTTCTCACACATAAATTGCCGACAATCAAGTATGCGCCGTTCAGATGGGAAAATACTCAATAGTCTAAATTACATCGTATTTTCGCGTTACTTAATTACCACAAATTTCGGTGCCTGTGCTGCATGCGTAACTCGAGCCGGATGAATTAATTTCTAATTGAAGGTGGCATTAGCCAATTGAATAAAAGTTGCCTTGTACAAGTACGGTCTTCGATCACACCTCTCTCGTTCTCTCAAATGGTGTAATAACACTACTGAGCAAGACCCACCAAACAGTATGTCATGCAGTGTTTTTTTGTACGCATGTACCCGCCACCCATTGGTTACACGCTTTAACCAATCAAGTCCCCGTTTTTCGGGAGAAAGTGGTTAGAACGAAATATTAAAATCTTGGAGGGCTAATTATGCGCTCAGAGGTCAGTCTGAGGACACCTGACCGACGAAATGAATAACGATGAAAACAGACTTAAACAGGCGGAACAAACGACGTAAATAAACGGAGACTTAAATCTGAGGAGTGTAGCACCGCCAGTCCCTAGGAGCTCAGATACCGGGAGCAAATCTCAAGGCCACAACTAAGTACTCCAAGCAGTAATTTAGGCATCAAAAGATGGCCAAAATTTGGACAGTTAGAGCCGAAGAAGCCTCAGCATGCTTTGCTAGCACTTCTGTTTATCAGCCTAACTGTCTTCATAGTTCAGTAGGGGCTGCCTCTCTCCAGGCGGAGACCGCAGTGAAACTTTTATGCAGCCCCTCAAAGGCGCAGGAAGGCCTCTCTGTCTCACGATGTGAGGAAAGCACAAATCCATCCCCGGTGTCAAATGCGACCACAGAACTCTGTGGGATTGGAGTGATACGTTTGAGAGCTTTTGAACCGGCTCGATTGACGCAAAGCGCCTCAGAAGTCCAGTCCCGAGAGTCTCCAATTCCTACCAACTCATCGCAAATCCAAAATCTTCTAGAAAAAGTGCGGAAATCGTTGGAGCAGTCTTCACACGCTCCACTCAAACCACAGACCCCTCTACTCCGTTCAAATAATCACCCACCAACGAGGAACGACAGTAGAGAAACAGAACGATTTCAAAAACGACTTCGGTTTATTTGTAATAGTAATAATATAGAGATGCATATTGACAGTTTTTCGGCATTTGCTGTGGTGGCAGTGTAGTAAGAGTAGTAGTGGTGGTGGGCGGAGTCAAAGAGGTAATTAACAAAAACTCCCAAATTATACACACGCGCAAACACGCCATCACCACCGCCCCGGGGAATTTCAATGATGATGAAGGTGCTAGAGCTGATGATGGTGAATGGGTTGTATTTTTTGGTGATGGTGACGGCTGGTAGTAACGGTGGCAGTCCCCGCCACCATTTGAGAAACGATGAAACACGAGCACACACACACAAATACACAATGGGGGAGGGATTTACACAGAGGGGGATTTGTTGTTCAAATGCAGAGAAAACACACCAAATTTACAGGTAGGGAAAATAGGAGAAAAGAAAAATGACCTAGGCATCCAAATCGACGGAGGAGCGTTGTCGCAGAAGAGCGAGACGATGGAGAAGAGGGAGGCGGCCACCAGACCACTCGTAGTAGCCACAGTAATCATCGTCTTCATCGTTGTAATAGTCATCGTCAACGAAGCAACAGTAGGGACAGTCGTCGGTGTCCTCGTCACCCGCAGCACCCAATACTAATCGACGATGGCTATAGTGGTGACGATAATGGCTGTGGAAATCGTCCAAATCGTGGAGGTTGTGCGAAGTACAAATGGAGAGGCATTGGGCGATTATGCGACCCGCGTCGTTGGTTCGCAGACTCGAGGGACCCGGACACGTACCCATAGCGATTTCGCACAGCAACGGCGTCTCAGATAATAACCACCTAGACGTACGTAGGCAAAGACTGTTAATGCTTACAAGACGCCGCGGAGACGTCTCGGGCGTTGAAAAGGCCTCAACAGGGATTCAAGGAACAGGACTGTATTTTCCTAGTTGAAATTTATACAACGACAAAAAGAATGAGAACCTCTGAATTGCCTTGGAACTCTTAAAGATCTACAATTGTTTACATCCCTTAGGTATTCAGGAATACTACTGTTTAATGAGGACTTCATCAACTACCGTTCCACAGAGCCTTAAGGAGGAATATTACCACGCAAGACATTTTTGTCACAGAGGAAACCGAAAATGACAATCTATTCTGTGAAAAAAATAGTACTCTTGATAAAAGAACATTCAGTGCCTTATTGAGGTGTCAGGTGTTGAAGAAGAATCATTTCATGACACCCTGTCCACGATTCTTGGCTATTCGACGAAGCACGATTTTATAGCTACGTAGAATCCCCTCTATACTATTTCCAACAAGGAGTCAGGCAAATGTTTCATTGAGAAGTACAGTACTAATGGTTTGTGGGAACTTAATAGGTAAATAAGAGAAAAACATTTGTCAATCAAGTAGGCACATTCGTTTCCACGGTTACAAGGGGTAACTAAGTTCCACAAATTGCCAAAGTACACTCGACTTAAAGCCACGTGGCCGAAAAAAAAGCAATAAAAGAATGCAGCTGTCTTCAGAGTAAAGACCAACGAGTAGTCAAGGAATGCTAAGGAAAATGTCGTAAACCTATGGCTTGAGATGGGAACGTTGGTGAACGTTCCACCGCTACGTGCAGAAATATTGGAAGAGGATACATTATCGAGCGACCTAAAGTAAACAATGGTTAATAAAACTGACCTTCTAGCCTCAGGAACGTGTTTGGCCAGATTGCGGAGTATGAGAGCTGCAGTAACGCGGAGATGTTTGGTCACTGGACCCTCCCTGGGTGGCGGCACAATGCGTCCTCCTCCACCTACACCACTGGCCGCGGCAGCGTTGTAGTAGCGACCCGATATTGCGCATTGCGATACCCAAAGATCTGATTGCAAGCGACGCGTTTCCACTTCCTTGATGATCGCCCAGCCCGATTGATCGGGAACACTGATGGAGACGGGGTAGGAGGGTGGCGGTGGAGGAGCGGATGATGTAATAGCTATCGACCGGCGCCGAGACTCGAGCTCTCCAGCTGAGCAGTGGTGCTCCAGAACGTGCGACATCAGCGCGAACGGTGCACGCGGCAGGTGAGTGGAGGCACAATCGGCCCACTGACAGCAGCGGCGCTCGATTGGCGCAGGGATGACAGCGGAGGATGCGGAGGGAAGACCAGACTTTAGGTGGCACTTGTAGACGTGACAAGACACCTGCGTACGAAAAAAACTCACGTCACAAGCAAAGGAGCTAAGAGACGATGATAAAAGCAGTAGATGTGGTGATTTGAATAGGAAAAGCTTAAAGATAATGAAATGAAGCGATACAAATAATGCTGCAGCCAAGCTAATGGGACCGAGGGAGTCGTGAGCAGAAACGAACCTGTTTAGCAACTGGGAACCGTTGGAGACAGCCGCCCCACTCACAGACGAACATGGGGGGTGAAGGTGGCGGCGGTGGGAGCTGCAGTTGAGATGACATGGCAGTCTTAGTTGATTCGCTCTTCAAATCAACTTTGCGTCGCTTCGTCGGAGAACAGGAGTAGGCGGTGTCATCAGGCAGGATCGAGAACGCGCCCTTGAGAACACGGTTCCGCAGAGCGAAATTTCGCGGCCTCTTTCGAGTATAGTAAAAACCTACGCGACGATTGAAGCAGAGGTAATGTGTGAAGAAGGTGGCCACTTCAACAAGCTTCGCCTCCATCCACTTATCATCTTCTCCCTCTCTTGCTTCAGCTTCATCATCATCACTCTCTTCTTTCACCTTCACCTTATTTGGTTTCTCACTCTCCCTCATAGTCACGTTCTCGTTCTCATGGAAAACACCATTCACCAGAGGAGGCTCAGTCTTCACCGGCAGCTGTTTCTTCACAGGAGCGCTCTCACCATTAACAAGTTTGATGGAGGGAGCAGCCGCCACGACAAGATCGTTCCTTATGCTGGGAATGTGATGGATGGTACTGCCACTACCGCTGCCTCCACCACAGCCGTTGACCAAGGGTGGAATATTCTTGTTTGAAGGTGAGTTCAGTACCTCTTCAAGAAGTGATTTTGAGGATGACTTCCGTGGAGATAGCAGATAGTGATGCTGAGGAAGGCGGTGATTCACCAAGGAGTTGATCAAGGGGGTCGAAACTGCAAAAAAGTATCGCGGTTTTGGTTATCGTTTCAGTTTCCCTCCGTCCACACCTCCAACCATATCCTCATGCGTTACTAATAAGTCTTCTGAGCTCGTACTCCTTATTACGTCCTCAGGAATGACTCAAATCACTATGTTGGTGATAATGGCAAGTGAATCCGATCTAAATGACCATGATTCGTGATTTCAGTAGCCTGATACGACATCAAAGCAACAAGGAAGGAAGGTACCTGTTGCAAATGGGTGAATCTACGCAGAGTTACAAAAGAAGAGTGGCCAAATTAAAGTCAAATTTTGACAAGCATCCCGATTTTGAGTACTTCAAAATAATCACTATTGGAAAGAGACCAAATGTAAATGAACCCAAATTCGGAGCAATTATAATTCCTCCATTAAATCCATTTAGATGTTTTGACGAATGGGAGGCACGTAGAATGTGTTCGCTGCGGAACATCGTTAAGTCCTTGACGCTACATCTCAAAATAATCCTTCCTCAAAAAATTCGCCACTAAGGTCTTATACTCAGAAATCCCTAACAGAGCTGCAGTGTATACTACCAGTAATGAAAAGGGTAGCATTCTATCTATACTGATAACTCACTGTACCATCTTGAGTCCTGTCGCACAGTTTACTACAATCTACAGAAGGAGTTAATACACTTGTAGCGGGCGAGTTTCATCATGACACGCCAGGGACGAGGCTCAAAAAGAGAATATACTAAATATATATTGACTTTAGTCCCTGCTCACGGGCACAACCCCCCATGCCCTTTTGTGTATTGGTAATATGCAATTATCTAGACTGTTATGATCTGGGAATGCAAGTAATTAAAAGAAAACAATCACTTTTGCCATTCACGTGAGGCGATCGGTTAGGTGTGGAGGAGGCGGCAGCGCCGTTAACTCTCGTGGATGTGCGTCGCGGAGGAGGCATTTGAGGTGGCGGCATCTGCAGTCGATCGGTGAGCTCAGAAAGACTGCTTGCCTCTGGCTTTACATTGGCCACCTGAGGCGGTACCGCCAGGCCCCCTGGGCTGGTGGCGGTGGCAGGGGAAGAGACTGAACCGGGACCTAAGAGACTCGCCAAGGACGGCGATGAGGACGTCGAACGTGGTGGTGGGAGGGTCAAACGTGTCTGTGATGGTAGAGTAAAGGGCCGAGAAGGCACTAAATGCGGATTGGGCATCGGTTGCGGTGATGTTGGTGGTGGAGAATGACGTGGAGCCTGTTGAGGAAGATATTGGAGTGGAGGTGGGGGCGCCGCCGGCCGAGAATGGTGATGGTAGGAGTGGGGGTGAGAATGGAAAGGTGGTGGGTAATGCATCACAGGCTGACCCATCACCATCTGTGAAGGCGGCGGTGCTGATGGTTGCATGGGAGTGAGAACGGGCTGGGGCTGACGTTGCATCACTTTGACGCGATGCAGGGAGCCGGGACCCATAGACTGGCCTTCAAGACTGAGGAAGGCGAGGAGTGGGCGGAGGTGGATAGAGGCGCGACGAGCGGCGAAGACTGTTGATGGAGCACGTTTCGAAACAGTGTCATCAGCAGAAGCGAGAGCGCCCCACAGGCGTGTGCACGCGAAACCCCCCATGCCCGTCGCGGTGTAGAGGGCCTCCAGAACCGCGCACACCAGACCCAGGTCGGAGAGACAGAGCAGCTGAATCAGCCGGCACCACAAGGAACGCGGCAGACCCGCAAAGAGGCACTCCACATTCACACCCTCCGGTACACGCAGAAGATTCGTCAGGAGGTTGAGGCCTGAGAAGGACATTCAAGTTACATATAACTTCCTCGCAATGCCACCTTCCCTAAAAATAACAGGCATCTACGTACCTGTGCCTATGCCAATGTATCAGCAATCGCCTTTCCAATCAATAGGCACACACATAGGCACTTAAATAAGCTTAATAGGCAGACCCAATACTCAACCTCATTTCCGCCACAACAATTTACGTGAATCAATTCTTGAGTTTGCCTATGCTAATTATTCCTGATCGTGGTTGCAGCTAAGTGGGCCTAAAGAATGCCCACAACACCCCACTCACAAAAGGATTCAATGTGTCAACTCAAATGGACTTGGACCCCTGCAAGGCTATCATGTCAAGCGCGTCACAGCTCTCAGACTAAAGTGCAAGAACAGCTGGTTTGTCAGTGGAATCAGTGAAATATTACCTTAGATACAACGAGTTGACACTCAGTCTTTGGCCTTCAAGTATGATATCTATCCAAAGACTAATAAATTGCTCATTGTAGGCCGCATGAGAAGAAAGGCACATTTCTGAAGCCACTCCGAACAGCAAAAAAAGCAACACCATGCAAGAGTTTAATTTCTCACCTCGACTAACTAGCACGCACTCAAACAGACAGGCTATGTACACGCTGACTGCTGATTTTTTCTCCCACATACGGCGGTATCAAGGGAAAAGGCAAGTTAATTCACCCGTAGAAGAATTTCCGGATTGCACAGGAATTAAATTAAGGCAGGCGTACCAATATTAATGATTTACATTCAAGTAATAATAAGTTATTAAAATTGTTTCAGCTGTCTGGAACGGAGCCCTCCAAATTTCACCTACACTAGTTTGATTCGCATTCTTCTAAAACCATGGTTATTGCTTATTATTTGGTTCACAAAAAGGCAACCAAATTTTTGTCGCCAGAATCGCCCCACATAAGCCGAATTTTGCACCGTCCAAGTGACTATCAATTATGAAAACTGAGTGATAAGTAACTGGATTTAACTACCAGATTGTGGTACAATACGGGAGAAAGTGATCGTCACTCTTTTTTTAACTATGTTGACATTTCAGACTTCGCAATGGCACTGAGTTCCGTTCATGTCAATAGTTTCGGCACTTCACCATTCTTTATGAATACTCCCACATTTTGTAACATCTTCAGTGAGGACCCGATCCAAACCGTGTATCAAAAGCCTCAAGCCAATAGGTGGCTACGTGCGTGCGCATGTTGTACTCTTCAACGACGCCACACTCAAAGTAATAGCAACCGCATATGCCATGTCACGCGAAAGGACAGCTGATCGCTCCACGCACACACCCACATGCAAACAGGAACAGCTGTAGCCAATAGCTGCCCAGGGTGGCTGTGATTGGCCCAGACAGGGCACAGCCCAATAGTTTGCGAGAGGGCTTACCGGCGAGGAGATCGCACCGATCGGTGGACTGAAAGAGACAGCGAATGAGGAAGCGCAAGCTGACCAGCTCGATGCCAGTGAAGGTATTCAGATGCAACGGGCGTGGCACTCGTATGGAGACAGTGGCAGAATTGGTAGGTGCGGTGGAGGTAGAAGTGGTGGGGACGAGGGGATAGCGCAGCCCGCTGACCAACTGGAGGCCGAGCTGGCGAAGGGCGGAATGGCGCGCGTAGGCGCAGAGGAAGGCAAAACGCAGAGCGCAGGGCTGAGAGGAGAGAAAGCGCGCATTCTCCCGCCACGCTGAGAGTGGGGGGATGAGGCCAGGAGCGGGAAAGAGGCTCCGACCCCGGAACGGACGTCCACCGGTCTCGCTGAGACCTCCGCTCCCGGAGAATGCGCGACGACCCCTCATTGAGGCGAATGCCATCATCTACAACAGAGATAATGTTTTGATATCACCAGTACGAAGGTTCATGCAAACTGAGGATACAATGCTCATTGGCGATTTGAAACGACAAAGGTATAATCCAGTCGAAAAGTGGGGGTGTTAATCCATAATTTGCTGTATGTCTCTGAGGAAAAAAACAGATTAGCAAAAGGCAATTAAATGAGGTAGAGCAAAGCCCGTTAAGAAAACATGATTTTATCAATACAACTCTGTTATTCTTCGTGAATCGCATGTAGATCATGGAACAACCCGCGACAGGTGATTTGGAGGTGAACATGCTAGCTTTTAAAAAGTCCATAATTACAATGTGAAAATAAAAAGAACCCATTTGCCAGTCATTCGATTTCGTAAACAAATGGCTTAGAATAAGGGCTTTTAGTGGAAACTACTATGAAGAACATGCTGAATGAATCGACCTTGCGTACCCTAAAATTGCAAAAAAAGTTTGATCCGCCTGTCAAAATTTACTACTAAGACAACTAATGTTGCACCTACGTATCCAGAAAACATCATTGATATGCCAGCTTTTTGGAAGTCAATAATCATCCGTTCATGAAGATTCTAATAGAAAATACAACAATACAATACAATACAATGAAACAAATCAGTGAAACGGCAAAGGGGCTAAAACCGTTCAAAAATTGTGATTCAATGACCGGATCTGCTTTTGGTACTTTGGTCCATATTAGACCCAAAACCACCTGATAAACGGTGCTCGCTGCACGAGGAGTAGTCAAAACATTAAAACGTTTCAGAAGAAGCGTCTAAAAAGTGTTTAGAAGCATAACTTTTGAAGCTAATACTTAAAGGCACTTTTCAGTGAATCAGTCAGCTAGAGACAAGCCATTGAAGGTAAGACGATAATCATTACAAGAAACATACCTGCTCAATTTCGTCATCATCCTCCTCTAGAGGCGGCGGCAGACCCGGAAGGTAGGGCGGAGTGACACAGTTGACTAGGGTCGCCACCACCATGAGCACACGGGAGAGAGGTGCATTAGACGAGAGACAGTCATCGCTGCCGCAGCCGTTGCCGAGGGCACTACCGGTGGGACCAAAGAACTGGCGTGCGTGGCTCGGCGAGGGCGAGAAGAGGTCATGTGTGGTGTCTGGTGAGGGCGGTGGAACCACGCGGTAGCCTGCTGTCTCAGCGTCCTGAACCAGAGGCTCGGAATGCTCTACAGGGAGAAAACACCGAAATCGTTGAAGGGTGATGGCCTACCCCCGATCGGCAGGCCTGCTACCGCACGATGACTCATGCTAGGCACGCACGAGCGGTCAGGGGCGTGCGCACGCACGCGCAGCCGGAGAGGGTGTCAGGGTTAAGCTCGTGCCCATGGGCTTACACTGGGAGGGGAAATACTCGTGCGCGGCCAACGGCATCTAACTGGACACGGATAAGAGCGTACGCCGCACACCTGGGAGGACTGTTCTAAGCCAGACAATCAGTTCACGGAAGGGCTAGGTCTCTGTGAGATCAATTTGGGTTTTGTAAATTGAAGTGAAATACTGCAAGTCGCAATGCTCAGAACTGTAGGTTCAGATCACAATGAGGCCAAAACCTGCTATCCAGTACATACAAGTAGTGTGAAGTAGATCAGCATTTTGCGCACATATAGAGCAAGTTATGTAAAACCGTTTAAG